CGACTATGTGAAACATGAAGAGCGATTTAATGATCCTGAAGTTCGTAATTCGAAAATGTCACTGTAAGTACATTTTTAAATATTCAAAAACAAACATTATAAGTAAAAATGAGTGAAAGTTGACTTATTGTTTATTTCTAACAGTTCTTCCCGAGTATGTTACGGCGACTCTGCAATAGGTTATGTTTCGCTCCGAAGGCAGCAATCAATTTGTACTTTGAAAGCAAGAGTGTGTCCTGAACACAGAGTACGAAATACGCCTTACACTGTAACAATGCTTGTTAATGAAGAACAGAAAATTATAAATAGCGTGGAGTGTGAAGACTGCCCAGCGGCTTTAGGTGAAAATTATTAGTTTGATTGTTTCTTAATATATAATTTTGAGTACAAAAGTTTAAAAATTCTAGAAATTTAACTTTTACTTAAGAGTTAACTAATATTCTAAAGAAGTGAATCATTATTTATAGGTGGGTGTAAACATGCGATTGCTCTGTTGATGTGGGCACATCGTAGATCTGAGCAAAAATCTGCCACGCAAGTTGATTGTTACTGGAAAAAGTCAGCTTTGGCAAAAGTTGGTACTCCTAAGCAGTATATCAAGGCAACTGAATTATTTACAAACAAGAATGTTGCAAAAGCCACTTCAACTGAGAATTATGTAGAAAAGCATGAAACTTTTGTGAAAAATGTGATGGAATGTGCGAAACAAAAACAATTAGATAGCCAAATCAGTAGACATTGGTTCGATTTAGAAAGTAGACAGATTCGTTGTTTATCTCTCCATCAGTTAATTATTAATTTTTTAGAAACTGGTAAAAATGGAGCCCTTGACTTTTTTTCATTCGCAAAAAATTGTATTTCAGAAGAGTTGTGTGAACAAGCAGAAATTATGACACGAAACCAAAGTAATGAGCATCTATGGTTCGAGTTAAGATATGGAAGAATAACAGCTTCAAAAATATACGAAGCTGCACGTTGTAAGACATCTGATGGAAGCTTAGTAAACGAGATAATAGGAGCATCTAAAGTTTTCGAATCGAAAGAAATGAAAAGAGGCAAAGAATTAGAAAGAAAGATTTTACTTCAAGTACAAAAGATTCTTGGGTTAAGATATCGTACTTGTGGATTCTATTTAATCCCAGGCCACCCTGTTATTGGGGGTTCGCCTGATGCAGTTGGTGATGATTTTACTTTGGAAGTCAAAGCTCCAGCTACGCTGAAAGGATATAACAGATTCTTACCAGAAGGATCTATCAGTGCCAAATGCAAAGCCCAGATGTATTTACAAATGTATTGTACTAAGAAGAAGAAAGGTCTTTTCTGTGTTGCGGATCCAGAATTCGAAAAGAATAAAAAAGTCACAACCATATGGTTATTTTATGATGAAAATTTTACAATGATAATCGAAAGAGCCATCCAATTTTGGATTAATAATATCTTTCCAAGACTTTTAAAATCTGTTCAGTGACGTAATTGAAAAAGATTTCTTTTTCTTTCTTTTTCTTTCTTAGACCTTTAAACTTTGAAATGTATATACTCATATTTGTTTCATAATTTTTTTACAATAATAAAAGTGTTTGTACTAAATAATTAAATATTATTAATTTATGTATGACAGTGTAATAAATTCGCTTTAAGTTTAAAAATTTGTTGTGATATATTTTACAGTACATTATTTATACATACATCTAAATATGAACGATTTAAACACAGTGTGGGGACATTATCAATTTTCGCTTATACATTGTTTAGTGTTAATCTCTAAATGTACTTTCTAACATTTTGTACATTTCATGCAGAACAAATAAATTAATACAGCCTGGAATAAAAATCATAGTCCTCAAGTTTTTATGATAGGTGATTGTAAATTTATTAACGCTGCTACAACAATGATGGCAGAATCTATATAAGGCATTATGCCATGATGCAAAACAGCATGGGGTAAAAATAATTCAAATTCACGAATCCTACTTATAACCCTCTCTATGTGGATTCGCAAACTTGCAATTCGTTTAGTTTCTCGTGCTTCATGTTTCGATAACTTAGTTCCAGATGAAACACTTGGAGGACGAACAAGCTTACAGTTTTTTGTTGCTAACACTGTATCTATTTGCTTGAAACCACGATCAGCCATCACAGTGCAGTTTGGTTTCAATTTATCCATAATGCCACATACTTCAAACAAATTGGTATCTGAAATCCTACCCCCATATCCTGTAGAAATGAAATTTATCATGCCATCCGTAGTACAGGAAACCAAATACTTGAGCGTATTACTTTTTTTGTATTCTGACCAAGTTAATGATTGATGGACCGGATTTATAGGTTTTTCAATTTGAACTTCAAATCCATCTATTATTGCAGCAACATCTGAATAGTTAGCACGGAAAGGAATAGGCATTGTTTTTTTCACGGTTTTTTGGTCAGGAAAATAAATAAATTTCTTCAGTACATTAGCCAGTTTGATTATTGATGTGTTGAATACTATACTTGCTTTTGTTGAGCTCATCCCAAATTGATGTCCCAATCTAACAAAAGTGTCGTTTAACTTAATTTTCATCAAAGTAAGTTTTATATTATCTGTGCTAATTCCAGTAGCTAAATGCAACTGATCAATAATCCAAAGCCAATCTTGCGGTACTCCAACGTATCTTTTAGAATCATTATTAATGAAGTAATTAGTCATGTTCAATGCATTTCTTTTTATTTGTAAATCAAATTCTTCAGATTCACATATTTCACCAGATGATGGCGTGAATTCACTAACAGGTATAGAAGTTGAAGTACTGGTAGTTGTAGTAGTGTAAGTATTCAAATCAGAGTCGAATTGTTTAATGTTTTTTATGGGCAAATCAATGTAAGGTGGTTTTTGTATTCGTTTTAAACCAATTTTTTCAAGATTACATGGACTTGTTGATCGACTAGTAGTTTTAACGATGCATTGAACAGCTACACTTCTGAATTTATGTGTATGTTTGTCTTTTAAACACACCTGAATACTTTTATTTTTCACGTGTTTTTTATTATTTTTCTGACTGCAAATTATGCTATCTCCGTTTGGCAGAAGTTTTAATTTCTTAACTGATGGATGCAAATTATCATCGTCATTCTGATCATTCTGTATTGATTGCACTGAGCTAACACCTGCATTTGAAGAACTCGCTGATACAAGACTTGACTTACAGTTAGAAGTCACACTAATATTCTCTTTATTATGAACTTTAGGCAAGAATTTACTGAATTCACTTGATGACTCTGCATGAATTAGTTTACCTTCGCAATTTTTATTTATTGTTAGGTTGAAATCTGTTATATCTTGCAATATATTTTTTGACTGTTTCAATGCAAAATCATTGTTGGAAGATTGTAGAACTAATGTAGACTCTTGAAAATTGCAGTCTTGATTCTCCTGCTCTAACATGATTTCTTGAATAAGTTTTTCTGTTGCAGCTTTTTATATGATGGTCGAGGGATACAAGTTTTTGTAGTCTTGCGATCTGGTTGGCAATCAAAGTATCTTGGTACTACATTCTCTTTTATGTGGATTGGAGCTCCCATTGATTTGAATGTTACATAGTTTTCCAAGTCTTCTTCTAACTAATACATAAATAATACATTGGATCTTGATTAGGTTAGGTCGTACACATGTTTATCATCTTTTAGAATAAGAAAATTACCTTAAAATGATCTTGACAGCAATAAAAATGAGAGGCCGTAGGTTTATCCGTGTACGTTCTAATGAATACTAGAGGCAGCTACAGTTTGTGTATGATCGTGACGTCACAACGTATATTGTCTGCTGCACTCGGATATTTGGCGCGTAAACAGCAATTCAAAAAATTACCTCTCTTCGACAAGCATTTTCTTTGTGAAAAAGGCGTTTTTGGATTTCAGGAAAAAAATACTCTTATATAATCGGGGATGTACTATCAAATGATGCTAATTTTTCAACAGGCTTTTTTATCCAATTAAACGCGAGATGACAGACACTTCGCCGTCAGCGCGTATACAGTATACAGTAATAGCTCCTTTAGCTAGTCGCACGTACAGTACACCGGAAACTTCGGAACAATATACATAGCTCACATATCAGAAAATGTAATAGAGGCGTTGCGATGACGCTTGTTGCTTGTTAGCGGTACACGAGTAGCGTAATCATGCACTTAGCGAGATTAATGCGATATTACAAGGGATACCTCCCCTGAAAAGTTGGGAGTTTTAGCTAACTCTCTTGACAACGAGATGGGGGATTTTTAAACCATTCCCAGCTGTCGGAAACGCTGGGTAATTCCTGACGAAGATTACTTTCTGCATTTAATAGGTGCGCGCTTTATCAACGGAAAAGCGCGTAAAAGCGTTTAAAAAAAATTA